GTGATCGGGGATACACAACATAGCACGCAGCCCGCTTTCGGAGGTAACAAGAAATAGAGCAGGAAGCTAAGTGCACGTCGAACCTTAGGTAGCCAGTCGGTATGAGCAATTTTCTCCTGCGCACCCCGCCGCTGCATTTCGTTCGAAGATGGGGGGTCGGAAAACCTTACCGAAAGGGGGGGTGCCTCGCGTAGGAGAGGCCCCACCTTGATATTTTATGCGACATGGAGTTGGCGCCAGGATTTGATGTGTATGTCGGTAGATGAACGGGGTTCTTTTCTGGCGGCAAGGTATAGTATCACTGAGAGGCCCAGTCGTTTGATACGACTGCAGTAGTAAAGAACAGTTCGCCCAGGTGGGTGATATTCGGACGGAGATGTGTTTTGGTAACAAAGACACGACTAGGATACCGCGGAAGCTTTGCATTGCGCGGAACGTGTAGTAGGAGGGTATCTCCCTCCGTATGCATCCATAGAGGTGACACAAAATATTTGTCATCGGAATTGAACAGAAAGTAATAATGACGCTTTCTCATCCATATTCCGTGGTCTCTTCTTGTGCGTCCGTAGCTGGGTGTCTTCTCGTGCTTGCAACAACATCAGTGCTACAAGTCAAGTTCCCGCCGCACTAAGTGTGGAAACACCTAGTGCCCCGATGGACTCTCTCGGCCTGTTCACTTGACTGTAGAAAGCGCCTGAGAAACGACGACCCGCGTGGCTGAGCTAGCGCAAGCGACAACAATGGAGGTGGAGGAGTTGCGGTTGTTGGACCGAATAGCGAAACCGACATCGTTGGTAGTTGTATAGTCGCGCTCCCCCTGGGCCACGGCCGCCCAAGGCCCGGTCGCGGGAGAAGAGCTCTCTGTCGGCGAGCTCGCCCAGGGAAATGTTGCACCGGACTGTAGTACCATCTGTTTCATCTGCCTCCCTCTACCGTACGGAAAAATAACTTACAAACTTTTTTCTCTCGGCGGCTACATTTTCTTGAGGGATGTTTGAACCACTTTCCCGGCGGAACGAGAGGCCATATGTACGCACCGCGTGTTTTCACCACCCCAGCACGTGCGTCTAAATAGAGACCTTGCTTGCACAAGCGTGTGTTGTTGTAAGCGTGCACTTTCGATGAAACATCCAGATTGGAGGGAATCGGACTCATCATGTAGACGCAGATATTATCCAGCGTCCGTCTTTGAACAAGTAGAAGTGGGGGTTAACCGCGACACCGCGCTAGATCTGTGCTGGAACTGGCTTATGGACAGGGCAAATTTTCATGGATAGATGCGCGCCTGATATTCAGAACTCTGGGGGAAAACTTCAAGACAACTATCTGTTATGGTGTGGTCCAGAGGTAGTGCAAAGAGATCGAATATCTGGGGCATGCATAGTGGTCCGTTTTGTTGGTGTTGTCGGTGTGTTGCTGTTGCTAATGCTGTTGTTGTCAAAGGCACATTCATAGTTTCCGGTCCGACCCTCTGTCCAGGAATCTTCGTCCGTCCCCTCTTGACTATGAAAACCGAAATGCTGCAAAGTTGGCAGTCGATGGTGGTGGTGTGTTATCCTCCTGTGTATGTGTGCCTGCTGAAAGCTGAACCGAGATAGCGCATGGTTTGGGACGATCGGACCTAACGGTCGGGGGCGAGACATCATGAGTGGTAGGGCAGAGACAAATTGCTATCGCGTATGCATATCAGTCTGTTCAACAGGAGAGTCAAGTATTCGACCCCCATCCGCGCAATAACTGTACCATCATGAAATACTCTTCGAATAGGTCAACTTCTCCTGGGTCAACGATCATCTTCGCCGGATATCAGGCGTAGCCAAAACTCAAACATGTGTGGGAAACTTTGAGCGAGAGGGCCTGACAAAAGTTTCTGGTCTGCTCAACATATAGAGGCCAACGGAGGACCAAGGGAACTGTGTCGCTTCACTGCTGTTCATCCTCGAAAGGAAGAATCTTTTCAATCAAGAGCACGACAATCACTACTGTTCTTTGTTTCACGCCAGACAAAGAGCCAAATAGTTCTGCCGATCACACCTTTGTACTATGTCACCACCCTCAGACCCCATTCACAAAACCACACCACCACCACTGACAGCAACAACGACAGCAACAACGGCATCACAGGCATCGTTCCTTAGCCATCGCTAGCAGAACGTTGCTACGCGAAGCCCGACACGTCTGTACGAGATGGCTAGTTCAGCGTTTCCACAGGTGAGCGAAGACGTACGCATCGCAAACTGAAAGATGGAACGCGCGACACTCATGGAAGGTGAACCAGTGGCAAGGGGGCGGACACAAGATTGGCCAGTGGCATGAAGATTTGAAGGGGCCCGTCCTGCCATAGACTAGTCTATGGTGATAGCGTTGATCGCTTTTCGTTCACTCTCTGCTCATCTGGCGTATTTGCAGGAGGTACCACGGCGTTCTTCTCTCTTACTTGCATCCCATGGGAACGTTGAAAGTTGTCGCGACGGTCTGCCATACCCAAGGCCAGCGTGTA